AAAAAAAAAAAAAAAAAAAAAAAAAAAAAGTGAAATTAGAAGTTGCCAATAAATCTAGACCAAATTGTATTACCAGGCTGGAGTGCAATGGCACGCTCACAGTCACTGTAGCATCAACCTGTTGTGCTCAGGTGATCCTTCCACCTCAGCCTTCCAAGTAGCTGGAACTACAAGCACCATGCCTGGCTAATTTTTTTATTTATTGTAGAGATGAGGTCTTGCTAAGTTGCCCAGGCTGGTCTTGAACCCATGGGCTAATGCAATCTTCCCACCTCGACCTCCCAAAGTGCTGGGATTATATAGGTGAGCCACTGCACCTGGCCTATGTGTGTATCTTAATATAAAACATCACAAAAGCAGTTATACATACCTTGTAACTCTGGACCTAACGTGGTAATAAGTGCATTCAAACAGCGACCAAGACTTTGGTGAACTTCGGCATGAGTAGGAGGTACATTTAACAACAACATTATAATAAGAGAAAGGGTGGGTTCTACATGTATATAATAAAGTGGACCAGCAGAATCAATTATCAAGGACAGAGAATGTAATGCCCAGGTCTGTAAAGACAAGGAAAAACAATTAAAAATATTACAGTAGCATTAAGAAACACAAAATACATTAAATTGTTCTTTTGTTGAAGCAAGTTATAAAGTAACAGCAAAGTAAAGTATGTGTCTGCTACTACTAATTTGGAAAGAGAAATGGAGAACTTCCAACTCAGAGGCAATCATATAATTTAGAATGATATGTTTAGTTACAACTCATCACTAATCATTCCAATAATATTTGATACTTCAGCTAACAGCTTAAATCAAATCTAGTTTGTTGAAAAATTGTTCATTGTTTAATCTATAGAAACCACAAGCCGGGCTCGGTGGCTCAGCCTGTAAACCCAGCACTTTGGGAGGCTGAGGTGAGTGGATTGCCTGAGCCCGCGTGTTCGAGACCCGCCCGGGCAACTTGGCAAGACCTCATCTCTACAATAAAATCAAAAAATCAGTCGGGCATGGTAGCGCACGCCTGTAATTCTGGCTACTTGGAAGGCTGAGGCAGAAGGATCGCCGGAGCCTGGCAGGTCGAGGCTGCGGTGGCCGGGAGCTGCC